AATTCGTAAGTAGCATGTAGTCAATTAGAAAATGAGATTATTGATTGTCATTGAATTCGATGATCTAAACATTTGCAATGTTATTCGGAAGGGTTTGAATTATATGATTATGATTGCTAGTATACGAAAACAATATCTTATACAGGATTGGATGTTGACATTGCTGGAGGTTTGTTTATATGAATAGATTCATTTGCAACGAAAACAATTAAAACATGTTTTTGTTTCAGAACCGTTCGTTCGAAAAAAGATTCCTCTTGATGAATTATTAATTGAAGAATTATTAGATTTTTCAACATTAACATGTCCAAATTTAGCTAAATCGTGGTTTAGATTTGCTGATTGTGCTTATCTTTGGGGAAGACAATTACTTGCTCGATCTATACCGTACGTAGCTCGTTGATTGAAAGTGTTTTTCGAAAACTTTCTTATTTCTATTAGATTATCTTCATTGAATCTTGGGCAACAAGTTCGCTCAATACTTCCATCGGTTTGTTCATTTTATTTTCAAATGGTAATCATTGAGTTGCTGTTCCTTTTTTTAAGAAGTTTCAGCCGACGACGTAACAGAAATATCTCTTATTCTATCTTCAATTCGAATTTTAAATGATGGAGTTTCTGAAGTTGTAATATTCTTTGAAAAAGAAAAGATCAGTTCGAAATTTTTTTATTTTAGACGGTTTCTGAATTATCTTCACTTCATTCCTATCGTACAGATTTATCACGTGCTTGTTCATTACTTACAAAACATCCAATGTTAATCGAACAATTACTTCCTCAACAATTATGTACTATATTTAAAACTAATCTACTTAATTTATCAACTGTTGCATGAAAACGTCTTATACCACAATTATTCTCCCGTTTAGATCATCCTGATGGTTTTTTGAGAGATTATGCTACTAATTTGTTGATACGTATAGCAAAAGATTTTCCACAATTAATTCTCTATTCAGTTGTTGTTGAAATAACGGATGATTCAAAAATGAGACGAATAAAATCAAGAGATGATAATATTTATCAGAGAAAATCTGCGAGTACACATGAATCAGAAGATGATATCGATGAAGACGACGAAGAAGATGATATTGAAAAACAAGAAAATGCTGTTGCTATGAAAATAGTTTTCGATGAATTTATAATGTACTTTCGGAAACAAATTCACATGTTGTTGGAAAAGTTAAATTATTTGTACATGAATTACGACATGTTACTGTTCTATGGGATGAACTTTGGTTAGGAACAATGGTACAACTTCAGGAAGAAATTAGTCGGTTAGTTTCAAAGAAAGTTTTAGAAAACGAATAATGCTTCATCAGATTATGTTATTAGCTAGGCGAGGTTTGCGTACTGAGTTGAAACTATGCCTAAAGAAAGTTTCCATTCTTTTGATTTGGTTGTATCTTGAAATAAGAACATAGAATCTACCGATCTATATGACCTCTCATAATCAACTATTTTCAACAACACATACCTCTCTGTATATATTTTTAATACAATAATCTGAGGGTCTGCACTCGGTCGAATGTGGAATAAATCATGTATTTCTATCTGTAAGGAGTTTTACTGACATAATGACTCGCGTAATAATTGAAATTCTATACATTAGAAGATTTAATTGATTCGTTTTATTTTATTTAGACGTGTTGATGGCCTTAAAGATGAACTTCAACGTCTTGAATCTATGTCTATGACACATTTAGCAAAGGAAGAAAAAGAATTTCTAATTAAAGAAAAACAAGATGTTTTATTCAAATCTGTAAGTTTTTATAGTTAACCCTAACTAAAACTTTTCTTTCTATTTTTCTATTCAGTTTAATACTGTTCTTTTTTTTTTGTCATTTAAGATTTTATTTGTTCCTTTAAAGGTTAACAAATTAGACACACAATGAGTTACAAAAATATTTAGTAAAAAATTTTACAAGATACATTTGATTTGATTTTTAGAAT